GTGGTATATAATAAACATTGTGCTGTACCGAGCAATGCTTCCTTTGACCTGGGTGGCCCAAGCTACCCTGATGTTGTCACATCTAGGAAGCTAAGCAGGGTCGACCCTGGTCAGGGCTTGGATGGGAGACCAGCAAGGGAGTCCAGGGCTGCCATGTGGAGGCAGGCCATGGCAAACCACCTCTGAGCGTCTCTTGCCTTGAAAACGCTGCGGGGGTCGCCATAAGTCAGCTGTGATTTGGTGGCACTTTCCACTACACCAAGCAGCACTTGGTCCTCGGGCTGCCAAGTGGGGGCGGGGGGCGGGTAAACCCCCGCTTTGGAGGCCTGATTGCCGCCACCGCAGAATCGGGCCCCGGGGGAGCGTCACTTCCGGGAGGAGAGCTCCCGGAGCCCGGCGACGCTCCCCCGGCGACGCTCCCCCGCCGGTAAATAGATTAGACTTGGCAACCCTGGCGTTGAGGGGAAATGGGAAGAGGGAAAGGTGGAGCAGAATGGGTCAGGGGGAGGTTAACTGGTAGTTGACAGCACAGAGGAGGTCGTTGGGACCAGAGAACCAGAGAAGTCTTTGCAGAACCAATGAGTCCTGAAGAAAAGTCTATAGAAGGAAGGGGCACCTTGGTAGTTGGAAAGATGGCATGGAGGAGATTGTTGCGAGCCTTGGTCCATTTTTGTTGAATTGTTGAGTTATTCCTAGACAGTCCGGCCACTAGTCTTAGGCAGGTGCAAAAAAAATCCCAGCTGTGAAGCTTGGGATTTCTTCGCAAAGGGCCTTATGTGTGGGAGGAGCACATGCACACTGTCACATGTAAAGACTAGGCCCATGGCTATTTAGCAGTGTGCACCCACGCTGAGAATCGGCTGCCATTGGCTGTTTCTAAATCTGTGTGCTTGTGATAAAACAGATATGTGCACAAGGAGGGCTGCCAGGTCCCAACTTCTCCCTGACAGGGAGAGGGGCTGTCCCTGACGCGGGGATATCATGCAGAGAGCCAGTTTGGTGTCGTGGTTAAGTGCGCGGACTCTAATCCGGGAGAACCGGGTTTGATTCCCCACTCCTCCGCTTGCACCTGCTGGATGACCTTGGCCAAGCCATAGTTCTGTCAGAGCTGTTCTTGAAAAATAGCAGTTTCTGTCAGAGCTCTCTCAGCCCCACCTACCTCACAGGGTGTCTGTTGTGGGGAGGGGAAGGGGAAGGAGTTTGTAAGCCGCTCTTAGACTTGGACTGAAGGGCGGGGTATAAATCCAATCTCTTCTTCTCTCTTCTTCTTCTCATCATTGCATCGGGGACACAGTGCCACATGTGCACACCCCCTGCTTCCCCCCAGCCATTTAAAGGGAACCTTTCCTTTCAATGGTTGGGGGTAAAGCAGGCACCGCGCTCGCACACCCCTGAAAAGAGCGGGCACCCCGCGCGCCTGCCCTATTTGTGGCGTGCAGGGCAGGAGCGGGCGGCCCCTGCTTGAAAAGAGTGTGCGCTGTTTGTGAGTTTGCAGATTTGCAGTTTGTGAGACAGGTGCACAGGGCACCCAGTCTTTTCAAGCAGGGGCATGGAGGACTGTTGGGGTGGGGCTTCCCCCACTGGCCAGCTGGCCGGCATCTGGAGGGAACCCCAAAAATTGGGGGATCCTCTGCCCCTACCTGGGGACTGGCATGTCTACTTGGCACATGCTTGTATGCCCTGTACCCCTGCAGGGGGGAACAACATGACATAGAAGCAGCCTTAGATGCAAGGTTTCTCATGCTGTGGAAAATACATCAATTAATCATGGAAGACCCCTGCCAGTAAATAAAGTTTTTGATTGCAGGCCACCTCAGAGCATGGGCCATAGTGGAGGATATACAACGCAGTTACAGTTATCCTCTGTTGAATTTCCACATAACCATGAAAGTATGCTTCAGTGGTTGCACCGTGAGACCTGGTTAAGCAAAGGGCTTTTGTTTTAGATGGGCGACCTCAAGAGTTTTCAAAAAGGTGACAGGCACAGTCTACCGTGAACTTGCCTTGGAAAAGCCCTGCAGCACCCACCCTGGTGTTTGCACAAGGCTACTGCAGGAGGAATTCCTGTTGAACATCCCCTGGCGTGTGGTGGTGGTGGACTCTGGGATAGTTAGAACAAATCTCACCTGTATGGTGCCTGTATATTTTTCCTCTTGGGGCAATTAGCAGCCGTGTGTGTTGTGTGACTGGGATTGTGAAAATATTGTGGAGGAACGGGGGGGTCAGTCTCCCCACATATGTCTTGGGGATTCCTTTCGCCATGGCTTCTTTTTTTAGGAAAGTAGGAGATCTGTTCAGGGATCTCCCATCGTCACACATAACTGTGTCCTCAGTATGAATAAGGTTGCACTGCTACAAAAACCTAGTAGACTCAGAGAGAACTGTATCAAAATGGTGACCAGTGCAGGTGGGGGTCCCGCAGTTTCAGGCGCTCCTCTCCACACACCCCATTTACCCCCCCCAACAGGCAAGAAGATGGGAATAAACGCAATGTACCTATCGATGTAGGCACGTCGGTGCCGTCAGCGGGCATTCTAGGATTCGGGCAAAACTCTATGGTAGAAGCTAATTCTACCATTGAGTTTTGCCCAAAACCCAGTGTCACTCCCCGACATGCCTATATTACCTTTGGTTTACAAAGGCACGTTGCGTTTATTTTTAACGTTCCTCCCTGCTCCTGGTAAATACTCCCCCCACATACCTCGCCAGCAACCACACCAACGCCCGCCGGCATCCCCGGGACCTGGCAACCACAACCCTTCAAGAACCAGCATGGTGTAGTGGTTACAAGGTCAGAATAGGATCTGGGAGACCCAGGTTCAAATCCCCACTCTGCCACAGAAACTCACGGGCTGACCTTGGACCAGTCATGCACTCTCAGCTCAAGCTACCTCACAGGATTGTTGTGAGTATAAAACAGAGAAGGGGGAAGAACATTGTAAGCCAATCTGGGTCCCCATTGAGGAGAAAAGAAGGGTGACCCCTGCTTGAAAGTAAAGAAAAAAATGGAATGACATGAACTTTAAAGGGTATAATAACTCTGTTTAGGGTGCACCATTAAAGAGTTGGAAATACAGGAGCCATAACACTGGAAACATTGACCATTCTTGGCATTTTTGTTTACTTTAAAACCACCGCTGATTCCCTCTTCGCGTGGGGAGTGGGTTTTGCATACTACATTCCCCGCTGAACTGTCCCTTCCCCGGTGGCCAGAAGCCACTGCAAAGTGCTGATGCCGATTTTTTGACTCGCTGACAATGTCGAATAGGCCGTTTGTTAGGCTGTGACAGAAGAAGAAAAAAATCCGTGAGACCTTCAGTAATCCTAATAAAATGCTGGCTTTTTAAATCCAAACCCGTGTGTCTGCCGGTTTGAAAGAGCTTCGACATTAGCTGCCCTGTGTAATAAATGTGCACCGTTCACAGTAGTTAGTAGAGGCAGAGATTCTTGTGAGTGCCAGCTTTTTAAATAATAAAAAAAGAAACAAAAACAATAGCCCATTTGGTGGGGCAGAGCAAGGGCAAGCAGAGCCAGAGGACAGGAGTCAGCAAAGGACCTTGGAAAGTATGGTGAATCAGGGCTGGAGCTAGGATGGACTTTGGAAAGGAAGGGGAGGAGTCAGGGTAAAATCATGTGACTCAGCATCATAGGCCGTGAGAAACCTAGTGGGCCATGGGCACAAATTGGCAGAATCTTGATTTCACTGCCTTTCCATAGGTTGCCAGGTCTGGGTTGGAAACATATTGATGGCACATTGTCCCTGACAAGGCCATTCTATTTGCACTCTTAGGACCTAAACTGGAAGGTACATAATATTTCCAGTTCAGACAACAACTTCTGACACAAGGCCAGATATATTTGTGGCCCCAAATAGAAACTTTTTGGTGTGTCATTAAATTCCATATAGGAACATTCCAATTTTGGTCCTAATTTTATTTATTTATTTATTTATTTATTTACTTATTTTTGTGAGCCGAAACGCATCCACTGTTCTCTTTTGTGTGTATTTGTAACTTTGTACATTTTATGAGGCTTTACTTGGGCCCCTACTATTTTTATTTATTTGTTTATTCTTTGGATTTGTATCCCGCCCTCCCCGAAGGCTCAGGGCGGCTAACAGGGGCATAAATGCCTAATAAAAACAATAAGAACAATATTAAAATACAATACTCTATACAACATAATACAATTAATAAAATATCGGTGCTCCACTACTCACTCCAATTCCTAAAATCAAGATGGTGTTCTAGAGATGTTATAATAATACATCGACCGTTTATGTCCCCACAACCCTATCATCCCCAGGTACGTCTCGCACCCCCGATGGTACCCGCACCAGCGGTGGTAAGGGTGGGGTGATGAAAAAAGCGTTGGTGGAATAATGGTGGCAGCGGCTCCTAGGTTTTTATATGTCTTTGTAATAAACGCTCTTTTGTACACTTACTTATGTTTTTAACTTTTGGCCCTCAGTTAGTTTTCTAAACTTCCTCTGGAGGTTTCCGGGTTGGAAAATACCTGGAGACTTTGGGGGTGGATCCAGGAGAGGGTGGGGTTTGGGGAGGGGAGGGGCCTCAGCATGGTACAATCAATGCCGTAGAGTCCACCCTTCAAAGCAGCCATTTTCTCCAGGGGAGATAATCTCTCTCAGCTGGAGGTCAGCTGTAAAATCAGGAGATCTCCAGGCCCCACCTGGAGACTGGCAACCCTACAACACTAGTAGGGTTGCCAACATCCAGGAGGGGCCTGAGATCTCCCAGAATTCCAACTGACCTCCAGACCACAGAGAATTGTTCCCCATGGAGAAAATTGCTGCTTTGGAGGGTGGCCCCCTGTGGCATTATACTGCTCTGGGGTCCCTCCCCAACCCCACCCATCCCAGGCTCCACCCACAAATCTCCAGAAATTTCCCAACCCAAAAGTTGGCAGCCCTAAATAATAGTGACTTGATGAGACTGCTGTTTTACTAGGAAAATATTGGCTGGTTGGCGATCCTAGCAGTGATGGGGCTCACCATCAGCAAAGTCACTTGTGCCGGTATTGCTTTCCCGGTAAGAGGAACCCACTGTTCAGAAACCCAGGGGCGGATCGACTATGGAACAAATGAAGCTTAAGATTCAGGGCCCCTAATCCTGGAGGGGTCCTGAAGCAACTTTTTTTTTTTTAATGAGTGAATTTTTCAACAGAATTGATGTAGTTTTTTTTAAGTGTTTGTTATTATTTAAATAAGGCTATTTTAGTGACAGACTCATAAGCCAATGGGTTGAAGTACTTAATATTGACCGTAGAATATGCTCTAGTACCCGTTTCATATCCTTATTGGGTGTTGCTTTATTGTCGCCGGTTGAGAAGGGGGCCCCCATAACAGTTCAAGCTTCAGGGTACCAAGAATGTAGGTCTGCCACTGCAGAAACCAGTTGGCCAATTGAGCTCTGAAAGCATAAAGAGAAGGTAACAATGTGTGGCTTATGAGGAGCCCTGTATAGCACAGAAGTAGAGCTGTGGGTGCAGGATTAAGAACATAAGAACATAAAGGAAGCCAATGTTGGATCAGGCCAGTGGCCAAAAATACCAGGTGCCATCAGGAGGTCCAGCAGTGGGGCCAGGGTACTAGAAGCCCTCCCACTGTCGCCCCCCCCCCAATCACCAAGAATACAGTGCATCACTTGCCCCAGCCTGAGCGTTCCTATCTATACCAATTTGGTGCAGTGGTTAAGTGTGCGGACTCTAATCTGGGAGAACCGGGTTTGATTCCCCACGCCTCCACTTGCACCTGCTGATGTGACCTTGGGTCAGTCACAAGCTCTGGCACAGCTGTCCTTGAAAAAGAGCAGTTTGTGTCAGAGTTCTCTCAGCCCCACCCACCTCACAGGGTGTCTGTTGTGGGGAGGGGAAGGGAAAGGAGTTTGTAAACCGCTCTGAGACTCCAAGTGAAGGGCGGGGTATAAATCCAATCTCTTCTTCACTTCTTCTTCTACGTTGTGGCTAATAGCCACCGATGGACCTCTGCTCCATATGTTTATCCAGTTCCCTCTTGAAGCCGTCCATGCTTGTAGCTGCCGCCACCTCCTATGGCAGTGAATTCCATGTGTCAATCACTCTTTGGGTGAAGAAGTATTTCCTTTTATCTGTTCTAACCCGACTGCTCAGCAATTTCATTGAGTGCCCACAAGTTCTTGTATTGTGAGAAAGGGAGAAAAGTACTTCTTTCTCAACCTGCTCTTTCCCATGCATAATCTTACAAACCTCGATCATGTCACCCCTCAGCCGTTGTTTCTCCAAGCTAAAGAGCCACAAGCACTTTAACCTTTCTTCATAGGGGAAGTGTTCCGACCCTTTTATCATCTGAGTTGATATCCGCCACAAGAGAAGAGACTAGTGGTCTTAATGCCATGCTTCTGTCACCCCACCAATCCATTGCCAGCAGAACATAGAGCAATGCAACATCATTGAAGGGAACATACAAACGATGCCGCTTCCCCCAGCCCTTTGTAACCAGCAGTGCCTGCTCAAACGCCTTGTTCCAGGACAGGTTTCAAAAGAGAGGGACCCTGCCTGGCTTTGTTTCTGGTCTCCCTGCTAGCGTTAGATCCAGTCCATGCCATGACTAGGAACGGAGCTCATGGATCAGGTTTGCTGGCAAAGGGGAGTGTGTGGCCTGCAGAAAAGGAAAAACAATAAGATCATTTCAAAATTAAGTGCATCGCTCTCTTGATGGACCCCTTATCCCTTAGGGTACTCCAAACGGTTGAAGGATGGGAGTCAGGATCGCCATCTCTGAGTTCGGAAAGTCCTGGATGTCTGAGGGTGGAACCTGGAGAGGGTTGAGGGGATGGACGGTGGACCTCAGTAGGGTAGAATACTATAAAGTCCGCCCTCCAAAGCAGCCATTTCCCCCAGAGGAACCGACCTCTGTAGCCTGGAGCTCAGTTATAATTATGGGAGTGCCCCAGGCCCCACCAGGAGGTTGGCAACCCTAACGGGACAGACAGCATCCAGGGTCTGGATTTGGCACCTGGGTGGTCAGTTGCTTATTTTTTTTGCTATAGCATATGGTTCCCCAGATCTTTTTTTTTTTTTTTTTTTAAGTGCACAGCGCTGAAATTACTAGTTAATTTCATGGCTCTTTTTTTTAAAATAGCATTTTTATTGAGTTTTATATATTTTTACATCCTGTATTGTTAGTTGTATACAGTATCTTTCAATCAAGATCTAATAAACAAGAAGAGAAATGTTATCCATACGTACAATACTTGTTAATAAAACACAAAGTCTCTATATTTCTGAGGTAGTGCATACAATCGGGGTTGACAAGCAGTAAGATATTCAAAAAACACAAACCATTTTTCCAAATAATTATTAACATCTTTCGGATTGTCAAAAGCTATTTCACAGTGCAGTCCTATGCAAAGTTGCTACAGTCAAAACCCACTGGTTGTAACTGGCTTAGATTGGAGTAAGTCTGTTTAGGATTGCACTGTCAGTCTCTTCAAATAATTAACTTAAGGACAGTGTTCGTTCTCTCTCTCTCTCTCTCTCCCTCTCCTGGGAACTGTGCTTCAAACTCTGATGTCACAAACTCCCTCGTTTCCCGCGTTGGGAGACCTCCATGGAATCAATAAAATAGTGAGACTGTGCTCTCCTAATTATCGATTTCAAAGGCCTTGTGTTTTTAATCACCCTCCTGGCATGATGGATTCTGGATGACTTTGCTGAAACGTTGCCCATTCTAGGAATTTTAAGTGGCGAGAGGGAAGAGAAGCCTCTGCAAAACAGGCAGTGGCGAGCTGTAACTGGCTGGTGGGACCGCACACACCCAATTGGAGTCTTGTTTTGCTCTGAAACAGTAAGGGAGCATTTTAGTCTGGGGTGCATTTGTAGCATCTCCACGCCCTGTTTCCCGTATAGAGAGCTGAGGTCTGTCTTTGGGGAGTTACTCACAACTTAGCCAACATCGAAGGAGGAGGAGGAGGAGGTGAGGAGCAAAGAAAGGAGGGCGGGAAAGCTGGGGTAGCAAACAACTGAGTGTGATATCACAGTAATGCATTTGTTAGTTGTGGCCCAATTCTTCCTTTCTCCTGTTTTCAATTCATTTGACTTAAAGCTGTTCTGTACATGACAAGGAATGTGGGAAAGTCCAGTGTTAATTTTGCTGCTCCCCACAAGCCCTTTTCAGACATCACGATTGTACATGCCAAGAACCTGCCGACTGTGCATCTGTAGTGTGTGTGCTACCTGTGATCCTCCTAATATGCATGGTTGCCATGTTGTCTGAAAGGGCACACATTCTCACAGCCTCCGTATGCACTACATGGAATTGGCAACAAGATCTCTTGAACAGATTTAAACTAGAAGATCGGGGAGGGGGGGTTGGGAATCCCATTTCTTTAGGTCGATCTTTAATGTAAAAATTCAAATGATAAAAGATCACGGCCCGTTGGTGTTAGATCGCCGCTAACAAAGATCCGGAGAGTGATTTCAGCAAAAGTGAACAGCTTTATTGAAGGTACGAACAAGCGCTTGAAAGAAGTCATAACCAGAACAACTTAACATTGGGAGCTAGGCTCCTTTTAAACCTTCCCGGGCTAACGTAGCCACGCCTAATTACAATTAACAACCAATGAGGTTGTTCAGATTAAGTCCAATGAGAGTTCTTCCCTCTCAGGGACTAGGTGCAGTTCTGATTGGTCGCTGTTGAGGAGCGACCAATAGCACGTTAGCTCGGAGGAGCCTTCCTCTGGCTCGAGCTTAACATGGGGAGTCAATGTGGCGATTCATGCAAGCCGTTTCAATACACTACAGTTGGTATTTACCGCCGACTCAACTCCATAGAATAAGTTCGATAAACTCCCCTCACAGTACTAGGAAATGTGGTCAGATGGGTGACTTCCTCCACACATGGTGGTCAGGCCCAATCATTGCATCTTTTTGGAAACAAGTTCATCAAAGTATACTTTTAATTACAAATGTAAAGTTAAATGTTCTCCCTGAAGTCTTTTTATTGGACTACCAAACACCCCCCCCAAGTAGGAAATAAAGAGCATAACGAATTAATCTCTATTTTACTTTCTGCAGCAAGAAATACTGTAGCTGCTCATTGGAAAAATCTTTAACCTCCCCATATCGATACCTGTTTAGTCAAATTGGGTCTTATCTTGTTATGGCGAAGATTACTATGCAACCATATTCTGAGAAAGCTTACAATACGTTTGTTACAACCTGGTTTTCACTAATGCAATTTCTGTCTGAACAGGGTATCATTCCGAACAATCCAATTTTCAAAGATATGATCTTTTTCTAGTTCTTTCTTGGCCTCCCATCTTTCTTTCCTTTGTTGAAGGTTGAATGTTTTGTTGGTTTAATTGTACTCAGATGGGCTAGCACACTGTTTGTTTTTGTATGTATTGTAACTCGAGATCAGGCAGCTCTTTCTTTAATCAGTGATTTCAGTTTACTAGAACAGAGCAGCACAGAACACACAGGCCAACCCCCAGCTTATATACAGTTTGGAACTGGCTAAACCACACCCCTAGAACAGTAAGGTCCAATCAGAAGTGTATGCTTAGGACCAATAAGGTTTGTTTCCACGGATAGTCATAATCTTCCCTGATTGGTCCATTGCACAACGGCAGCCAATCAGGCTGTTGATTTCAGGATACTGAGAGTCTATGGAGCTTGTGACTGAAGCTCAGGCTCATTCTACAATTTACTCTCTCCATAGAACACAATACATAACAGTATGGAACTTATATGTATTGTCTTGTTGTGCTTGGTAAATAAAATTATTTTTTTTAAGTGGGATTCTATTCTGCATGTACTGTTGCTGAAAATCTGCGTGTTGCCCCTTTCAGGCAACATGGCAGCTATGCACACCTGGAGGATCTGGGCTAGGGTTGCCAAGTCTGGGTTGGAAAATACCTGGAGACTTTGGGGTTGGAGCCAGGAGAGGGTGTGGTTTGGGGAGGGGAGGGGCCTCTGCATAGTACAATGCCATGGAGTCCACCCTCCAGAGCAGCCATTTTCTCCAGGGGAGCTGATCTCTGTCGGCTGGGGATCAGTGGTAAAAGTGGGAGATCCCCAGGCCCCACCTGGAGGCTGGCAGCCCTAATCTGGGCATATTTGGAGGATCAGCACGCACTGGCCAGCCTCCCAGTTCTCAGGGCCTGTAAAGCCTTTAAAGGCCTACCGCAAACACGCCAAGTGTGTCCATAACATCCCCCGCATACTAGCATATTTGAATTCTCATATGCTTGACTTAGGTTACCGTCATCGTGCCCCACAGCGACAGCTTTGGCTGCCAGTGTGATGTTTTCAATCCAGCCAGAAGGATAGCTTTCCCTTCCCTCCCACGAAGGTGACAGCTTTGTGGCCGTAGAATGTTCACGAACATTCCGTGACATCTCACCCGTTCAGCCAGTCCACGCCAGAGGCCTCGCTATCACACCTTCAAAATCCGTATATACAGATGTTAATGAACAAGGCTAGCCATCGTCTTCTTTTCAGCTAAGCCTAGAATTTTGTAAGGTGTCTTGCGGAAAGAAAATAGCATGTACAATTGTGGCAATGGGCCTGAAAGGACACGTGATGCAAAGTTGCCAGAGAATGTTTGTGTACTCTGTTTAAGGGATTTCTGCATGGCCTGCGGTCATGTCCTCTGACGTGGATCACCTCCAGCTGGGCTTGCCAGCTTCTAGGTGGCACCTGGAGATCGCCCACTATCACAATTGTTCCCCGGATGACCAAGATCAGTTCCCCTGGAGAACACGTCTGCTTTGGCATTATACTCTGCTGAGGTCCCTCCCCTCCCCAGGCTCCGCCCCCAAAATCTCCAGGGAGTTCCCAAACCAGAGCTGGCAACCCTGCCTCCAACCCCTGAGAGCACATTCTTTCATTCCTCCCCAGATGTTTAGGAAAACCTCAGATACTGGCTTAAGAACAAAGCGTGGCTATGAACTTCACTATTGATCTACAGAACTGGTATCTTTGTGGTACAGAAGCCGGGTGGTTCTGTTTCAGTGTGAATGTCCCTGAGCCAGTTTGGTGTCGTGGTTAAGTGCGCGGACTCTAATCTGGGAGAGCCGGGTTTGATTCCCCACTCCTCCACTTGCACCTGGCTGGATGACCTTGGGCAAGCCATAGTTCTGAGAAGAGCTGTCCTTGAAAAAGAGCAGTTTCTGTCAGAGCTCTCTCAGCCCCACCTCCCTCACAGGGTGTCTGTTGTGGAGAGGGGAAGGGAAAGGAGTTTGTAAGCCGCTCTGAGACACCTTTGGGTAGTGAAGGGCAGGGTATAAATCCAATCTCTTCTTCTTCTTTAAACCATGAAGAGCCATTTTTGCCCACTGGATGTCTGTTCTGTTTCGTGTTCAGAGATCTCAACCTGTACTTTCTTTTCTTTCTTTCTCACAGTCTGACACCAATGCAAGTTACCTACGAGCGGCCCGGGCAGGCAACTTGGAGAAGGCCCTTGACTACTTAAAAAGTGGAGTGGACATCAACATTTGCAATCAGGTTGTAGAAAAAAGTTTTCGTTCTTTGTCTTGACCACACCTCTGCTCGCTTAGATCGGTTGCTGTTCCGAGAACAACGGGTGATGCTTAAAAGTCCGAGCAGCTGACACACCTTTTGTCTCCCTGCGTGGGTCGCTGCTGTTAGTGTGTGCCAAATTTTTTTATTGAGCATTGTGCAAAGAGTGAAAAAGGTCCCCGTGAAAGGGGCTTGCAATATAATAGACTACGCACAAAAGTGGGGGAAGGGGGGGATTGTGGTAAGGAAGAAGAGAACAAAGGAAGTCAGGTACATTAAGGTTACATCATGGCCAGGTGGAACAACTATTAAGAGCATGTTTTGACATGCCTAGGCACTAGTGGCTGCTGTTTGCTAAAGCAACTATCCATCTAGAAGTGCTTTATGCTGAACAACTTCTTCCTCATTGTTGCTATTAATTAGGACCCATGTCAGGGGCTGCAGTGGCTCAGAGTTTAAGACGCTGAGCTGCAGACCGGAAGGTCTGTCGTTCTGCAGTTCGAGACCCTAGTGCCGCGTGACAGAGTGAGCTGCCGTCTCTGGCCCCAGCTCCTGCCAACCTAGCAATTCGAAAGCAAGAAATTGCAAGTAGTTAAATAGGTACAGCTTCAGTGGGACGGTAACAGCGTTCCGTGGGCCTTGGCGTTTAGTCATGCCGGCCACATGACCACGGAAATGTCTTTGGACAGCGCTGGCTCTTTGGCTTGGAAATGGAGATGAGCACCGCCCCCTAGAGTCGGATTCTACTAGCTTTCAAGCAAGGGAAATCTTTACGGAACATGTCAGTCAAGTACCATAATCTGTACCAGATTGGCTGGCGCAGTAGTGCTGGGGAGCTGGAACTCTCAGTCGTGCAAGTGAAATAGGTGGGGGTGAACATGTTCAAAAGTGTGTTTGAAAATGTATAGTTGGTTTGTGTGTGAGAGGAAATGTCAGTGCTAACGTTGGTATCGTTCTTGGAGGGATGTTTTTGCTTGCTTACTACTAGTCTGCTGAACTCCATATAATCCATTAATAAAGTATATTCTAGAAGGAAATGCCAGGCAAACATTATTTCAGCAGCTAAGACTGTTGCTCCTGGGACTGTTCTCCAGAAATGGGACCCGTATCTGAATAAGCAAACTTAGCATTGCAGCGACGTTTACATTCCTTGGGTGGAAAAATAAAATAAGTAACCTAAGCACAATTTCGGGATCATAAATCCCATGCAATTTAATGCAAGTTACCTCTCCTAGCAGTTCGAAAGTAAGAAATTGCAAGTAGATAAATAGGTACCACTTTCGTGGGAAGGTAACAGCTTTCCGTGCACCTTGGTGTTTAGTCATGCCGGCCACATGACCACGGAAACGTCTTCGGACAGTGCTGGCTCTTCGGCTTTGAAACAGGGATGAGCACCGCAGCCCTAGAGTCGGATTCCACTGGCTTTCGAGCAGGGGAACCTTTACCTTTACCTCTCCGTAAATACACTTAAGCTTGTGCTGCATTTGCTCATATTCATCCCTGGGTTTACCAACCCTGGATTGGAAAATCCCTGGAGATCTGAGGTAGGAGAGGAGGGACCGCTGTGGGGTATACCGCCATAGAGTCCACCCTCCAAAGGAGCCACTTCCTCCTCTCTTTTCTAGAGATGAGTTGAAATCCCAGGAGAATTCCAGGTCCCACCTGGAGGCTGGCAACCCTATCCTGTACCCTTGCCTCTCCCTCTTTCCTTCTCTCGGTAACTGTTGAAATTGACATTGTAAGCTCCTTCAGGCAGGGATTTCTCCTTTTTTTTTGCTTATGTTGTCCTGCAAGGTATGACACTAGGGTTGCCAAGTGCAAAAAGCCTACCGTCAGGGGAGCGTTGCGGCAATCCAGGAGCTTTTCTCCAACGCACGTGCGCGCAGTGTGCGTGCGCCACCAGCACGTCCAGGAAGTGATGTGTGACGTTGAGCACGTTGGGGCGTGGCCCCCATCGTCGGGGGGAAAACCATAGAGTTTTCCCTCCGACGATCGGGGCCACGCCCCCAACGTGCTCAACGTGGTTGACGCAGCCACGCTGTGCTTCGGGGGGCGGGGTTCCCCCGGGGCCCGATTCCACGGCAGCGGAAACTGGGCCTTGAAAGCGGGGGTTTACCCGCCACCCGCCCCCACTTGGCAGCCCTACATGACACGGCGGTGCATATATTTTTGTGCACCCTACTGCGGGTAAAGAGTAAGGAACAGCCGGGGTAATAGCCGTCCCTGGGTTGGTGATGATAATTGCTATTGTTATTTAAGTTTTGTACAGCACTGTTCAATGTGTCTGGTGCCATATAAAGAGGGATTTGTTTTGTTCATCCCAAGGATGCCAGTCGGTCTCTTACACTGTGTGTTGTGTGACGTGCTGAAAGCAGTGCATTTGAAAGCGAGTGTTAGAAAGGGCCTCTCTTTCTGGACTTCTGTGCAAGTCCTCATCATGTCGGAATGTGACCTTTGGGCCTCTTGACATCTTGCGTGTGGCTGTGGGCGCCCTGCATCACTCTATTCCTTTCTGTTTTTATCAGAATGGGCTGAACGCTCTCCATCTCGCCTCCAAAGAAGGCCACGTCGAAGTCGTCTCGGAGCTGATACAGAGAGGTGCTCATGTGGACGCCGCGACAAAGGTCTGTAGCAGATATCTCCAGTGTTCTCTGATTCTCCTGCATGGATTCCACACTAGCCAAGTGTCAGCCAACAGTCCGCAGACAGCGAGGTGCTAAGCCAGGCCGGTAGCCAGAGTTTGTATGACAGAGGGGACCTTAAAGACTGGGAGCTGCCAGCAAAGGACACAGGGATTAATGGCGCCTGAAGTCTTGTGTTGGAGAGGCCAGGGATGGATGGGCAGATTAATGCCAGGGGGTGTTCCTTCCCCCCTGCAGTTCGGGCCCACTAGTTTTTCTGTACAGTCAAGAAAGAGGGACAAGGGCTGTAGCGGCGGAGCATATGCGAGCACGAAGGAGGCTCTCAAGTGGAAGGATAAAAGGGCTTCCAGTAGCTGAACTAGGGTCTCAGTCACACGGGCAGGAAACTGCGGGGGGGAAACGTGGCTGTTAGCTTCGGGGCTAAAAACCACGCGGTTGCTCGAGCAGACCTACCTATCGAGGTCCCGTGGAGGTCCCGTGGTAGGGGGAAGGTGCCGATCACTCCACAGTCCTGCGGCGCGGCAAAGAAGCGCGGCGCAGGGCAAACGGGTTGGTTGTTTTTTTAAAAAAAACACTCAATTGTGCGCATGCTCCCTTGAGTGCATGTGTGCATCCGTGGAGACTTTGGGGAAAAAAACTTTTTCCAAGGGGACATGGGCGGGCGCTGGAACTACCTCCGGAAACGCGATCAGATGCCCGCCCTTGCCCTGCGGTTTTAGGAAACTAGTACCTCCGAGGTACTAGTTTTTTACTCCGCGTCTTTGGCGGGAAGCCTCGGTTGCGCCACGGAAGCCCGACGCTTCCCAGATGTGCCGGTGAGATCGCGCCCGGAAACTCCGCCTATCTTCCGTCCCTCTAACGTGGCTAATGCTCCGTATGACCGGGGCCTAGGAGAGTTTCCTGGGAAGGTCTGAGTTCGTGGACAGGTGGTCCCGCTCAGAACAGGCAATATTGGGCTAAATGGACCGTTCGGCTGAATTTGCACAGGGCCAATGAATATGTTGAACTATCATCCCTATCACTCAGTGCAAACAAAAGTGGGCGTTTTTTTAAAAAAGTATGGTGTGATAAATGATGGGAGGGAAGTCGGCACAGTATAGCCCAGCCTCGTCAGATCGTGGAAGCTAAGCAGGGCACGTAGATGGGAGATCACCAAGGAGGTCAAGGGCAGACCGCCTCTACTTCTCACTTGACTTGAAAGACCCTCACTGGGGTTGCTGTGAGCCGGTTGCAGCAACCTGACGGCACTTAGGGACGACCACGGTAAATGATCTTTCACACCATTTCTCCAGCTAAGAGGTTATACTGGGTGGATACCATGGGGCTGCGTGGGGCGGCTCTGCGCATTCTGTTTGCGTATCATTCGCTCACATTAGGTTAACTTTGGGATGATGGGAGACTGTTAGTGGGACCACACTCAGTAGTTTTCAGTCATAGTTTCACAAGGCGGCCGTGCGGGTCTGCAGCGGAACGGTTAGATTTGAACCAAGGAGCATCGTAGAGACCAACAAGAGATTCAGGGTGTCAGATTTTGAGAGTCAAAAGCTCCCTTCGTCAGGCACAGTGGAGTTGAAGTGGAGATCTGAATCCTTTTATCCTAGCCAGAAGGTGGGAGGGGCATCGTAAAGAAATT